GCTTCAGCAGTCTAGATTCTAGACTCTGGACAAAATATTAGCCTGGAAGTAGGTGGAAACGCACAGGGGTAGCACTGAGAAGCCGCGGTTGGTTGACTCTGAGGAGGATGTCACTGTGAAAGGCATACTGCAGACTTTAAGCATGTGAGCTCCTAACGCACCTACATTGCCCATGGAAGCCGCACTCAACAAAGACAGCAGAGAGCAGCAACCATCTCTATCATTTATTGAGTTCAGGCCTCAGTTTTTAACAAATAAAAAAATTGGGATCCCGATAAAACAATAATTGTGCTTTGAATCTGCTGATGGAAAAAAAATGACAAAAAGAGCTATGAATTCAGCAACATTTAAATTAGTTTTTATTTTATTAATTTTAATACTCTCTACATACATATAAAAATCATTTATAATGCAGTATTTCATCTACTAACAGGGCTTGGTGCACATAGGAGTTCTCAGATCCTTCTACTACCCAGAGGCCTACGGCTCATAACTTAGGGATTATTGAATTATATTGCCTTTCACGGGCTTCCAGCTCTGAAACGTTATGAATCTATGCTCATAACAATAATTTTTAAAGTATAAGTTGCATCAATGTATAAATTTAGGACCAGAGAAGTATGGAATGCATTTAGAAAGATCTCCTTTAAAGTTTGTTAGGATGAAGTTTTGGTGTAAGAGTCGATCTTCAGCTGTCTGGACTGTTTGCTTATATAACGGGATCATTTCTCTCCTGCACAGTGAGCCAAGGAGACAATGGCCCCAGTATCCCAAACCTTGCTCTTTCCACAAATCCTGCTATTTGTCATATTAGAAGGCAGAAAAAGTAGTTATACCTAATTTTCTTAAAAGAGTCTAACTATCCTGAAAAGTCTTATCCTGAATCTTATTTTAATAACTAAAAATTGAGACGAAGTCAAGGTTGGCCAAAGGAAGGGGGAAAGAAATCTGATTTCCAGGCTTTCAAGAAAATACTTGAGAACAGAACCCAGAGACAGGTATCGTATTTTCCCCTAAAAAGGCATTGAAAGGAGTCTTATTAAAGATGCTTGGGGGTGAAAAAGAAATTATAAGGTTAGATGAGGTCAGAGAAGCTAGCTGGCCCTGAAGGTGTGACAAGAGTTTATTGCCAGATTGCAGGACCCTGTGTGCTCCCATTGCACTGCTCCCCTGCTGTAGCAAGATGATTTTTAGCTGCTTTTTCCCTATTTCAACTGGACTTACTCAATATTTATTATTTATTTTTGGTTCACTTGAATTTATAAATGTTCCAATAATTACAATATTGTGTTGACATAGTACACATACATATGTGCGTACATACGTACGTGTACACACCTGAAATTTTCTGTAGGGATTTTTAAAAAATATAAGCAATATTGAATCTATACTGTACACAATATTAAGTTTTAGCTTCAGTTTTTCAAGAGCAAAAGAGGCACAATTTTGCTCCCTGGGAACTTTTCGTATGATTTTCGATATAATGAACTCCCCTGAAACCTGCTGTCTCTCCACTCTCATTGTTTTAAAGTCACATCTGCATGTAAGTTTAGGCCCTTGATTCTGCTGGCACTAGCCCAATCCTAATCTGTCTTGAGATTGTTTTCAAGGTGCACATGATTCTGCAGCATTTGAACATGATTCGGGGGCAGCTTAAGTCTGCGTGGAGCATTCGCGCCGTCTGCTGTACAGCAATCAGCACGCGGGAACATGCGGGAGGCCTGCCTCTAACCGCTGTCACTCACGGGCAGCTGACACGGTGTGAAAGCTTCTCGGGAGTCTGTCTCCACCGCTCACCCTCCTGCCTCGTAGGAGAAAGAATTTTATTCATTTAGTTAGTTATTTCGGCCTGAATATCCAGTCTCCCTCTATTTATCATCACTTCAGATGAGTTCTTTTGGTTAAAAAAATAAAATGGAGCAGTGGGACAGCTATTGATCCCCTGCCTCTGGCCACCTCACTAATTCCACAGCTGTGTGGCCCATTCCCTGCCCTCTCTCTGCCCATGGCATTTATGATTTCCTCTGCCACTTTATGCTAAAGTACCCCAGCACACAAAGTAACACCAAAATGGGCTTTGTAGTCACTGTCACCTCTACCTGAAGATTTGTCCTCGCCTTGAAGGGCCCTGTTCGCAGGTCACCTATCACCTGCTTCAGTCTCCTTCCCACAGGCCGCCGAGCTGTCTGTCCTCCAGCTTCAGTCTCGTTGGAGGAACGAGAGTTGCCCAGCATGGCCTTGCTTTGGTTTAGGTGTGGCGTTCAGCCTAGCTCTCAACCCACAGCCTCTGCAGATCAGAAGCTTACTGGGAGGCATTCTGCTTGGTTGCCATGGCAGTGGACTCCTAAGGAGACATTTCTGAGTTTGCTGCCAGCTGTGGGAGTCTTTGTGATACAGACAGGCTGGGGCATTTGGTGGAAAGTCATTGGGAAAAGGCCCTGGCACCTCAAGTATAATTGATTTATTAGAGTCAAAGGCCAAGGTCATGCCATACCACCTGTGACTTCAGTCAACCTCAGGAATATATGAAGAAATGGTGTAGGTTTCTATGAATAAATCCCTGTAAGTCCCATTAAGTTAGGGAAATATTTAGTTCCATTCTCAATAATTAGTGGATTCCTTGCATAGGAACAGCCTCCCCAGGGATGCCCATCAGTGGAGAGAGAGCATGGATTTTAAGAACACTTTATGTGGAAAGAAGCAAATTGTCTGCATCCAGTAATGGAATTCAGCTGCTCTATATGTGTGGTATTGTGCTCAGCATCCGAAGACAGGCATGCTCTTAGTGGGCTGACCGCCCGTTGGTTAGGGATTCATTTACCAGCTCTAACCAGGCTAAGTGCTGAGGCTTCCACCCACTCTGAGCTGTGTGTCTCTCTTTGGCAAGGCCTGTTGTTATGGTTTCGGGCCCACTCTCATCCTGACCTTGCAAGGAGCCCCCATTTCCACTTGGGGCACACCTGGCTGGCCCCGCACATGGCATCCACCAGATATTCTGAAATGGTTGCAGAGAGACCAGAAAGCAAAGACGTCTAAGCTGGAATGCCCCGATGCTCGGGGCTCTCAGCCCTAAACACATCTGCCCGATTTTACATAAATACTTAGACAGTCATGAAATGCATTTTCTGGGTGTCTGGCTTTTCTTCCTGTTGGCTTTTCTCTTCATTTTTCCTGCTGCTTCCTTTTTATTTTTCTGCTTTTTAAAAAAATTTTTCTCTTGCTAATTCTGATCCAACAAGGTAACGATGCATTTTCCAGGGAGCCTTTTATAATAGTTTCTTCCCTAGTCTATTTAGTGGAAATGCAAGCTGTTTCAGCCTGTTAGGGTCAATTTTTTTTTTAAACAATGTCCCTTGCATATTTTTAAGTTAGATGATAATTCCTTGCCTTTGATAGAAGCTACCCAAATTAGACATTTCTCAGGTTACAAATAACTAAACTTGGCAGCTTACTTTTTTCCTCCCTTTTTTATTAATAAAGAAGTTTCTGGCCCTTCTGATTGTGCCCCTTTCACATGCAAGGCTGCTCTTCTGGCCACATGAAGCCAAATGGAAACATTGACCAGAGGTGTGTGAGCCCCATTGCTCTCAGGCCTGGTTGATGCCGGCTGACCGGAGCAGCCTACCCACACCACTACTACCCCCAAACACACTTTCTGGAAACACCCAGCGTTTGGGCCCTGGTCTTTATCTTTTTAAGTGGGGGCAAGGTAATCTGCTGCCCTGATCCTTATGTGGGTGCTGCCCCACCAGAAATGCAGTTTAACAAAAAGCAGACCTTACGTTGGGATGTCAGATCTGTTTGCTGGAAACCGCAGGAAGATCAGCGCAGCAAGGAAGCGCTTGCCAGGACTTGGGAGAGAAATACCTTATTGGAAAGGATAGAGCCTGAGGTGGAACTTAATGGCTTCCCTGAAAAATGTTTTAAAATGCATGTGTCTCAATTCCATGTTAGTACTGCAGCAATCAAAATAAACTGGACCTGTCAGGAGCCAGTGCTGAGAGAATGTTATGAATAGACTTATTTTGTAAAGTTGTCACTTCAAACGCCCAGAAAAACCAACCAAGGGTAACGTCTGCTCCCTCGGCGTTGATTTTGGTTAAATCCCTCCCTTGAATGACCTCAGTTTAATTTGGCTAGTTATGTGAGTTTTGTTTCTTCTTCCTAGTTTTCTGGAAAAGAAATTAAAAGTGAGGGCTCCACAGATGTGGCCCGCTGTGCCACACTGTGTGGAGGGGCTGGACGTGCTGGTAGAACCATCATCGCCTGCTCACTGAGCACACCCCCTGGCTTCTGAGTGGAAGCCTTGTTACCTGGGAGTGTTTTCAGTATAAAGCTTGGCACTAACCTGTGAAGCCAAGGGAAAGAATTGGCCCTTTCACACACAGCTGCCGGTGTCCCGCTGCGGGAGGTCCACGTTAGCACCGGGACCCTCTCTGAGCCTGCACCCCCTTCAGAGGCGATAGCGCCTCTGATTCCCAGTTGGAAGAACTAGTCCACCTTCTTGGAGTTCAGCCAAGCAAAGATCCCAAATGTGACCAGCCTGCCTGCCCTTCAAGAATTCTTCCCTAACAACGTGGGTAATGCCGGTTTTTGTGTGTTTAAAGAAACTGTCCAGCACACGTTCTTTTCACTCTTGGTAGACGGCCACTGTGCTAGGCTGTCAAGCCTCACCTGATTTATGGGCCTACTGCTGCAAATCCTGATTTCTAGAGTTAGAGCTAAAAGCAGCTCCTGACCCACAAAGGCTAAGGCCTGATGCGTGGGCACTGTGGGTGTAGCCTCCTTGGAGGAACCCAACCAAGAGGTACAGACAGCATCCTTTTTAACCACTTGGAAGGGAAGGACCATGCCAGGCCTGTATCAATGTGCTGTGACCACTGATGGAGTTGTAAGACAGTTAGGGACATCTCTCAGGGTTAAAAGGTATTGTGGGTTCTTCCGTGGCCCAGACTAAAGGGGGGGGAATAACCTATTTCATTTTATTTTTTTTTTTCCAGTTCTCTCAGGCCAGGCACACCACAGCCCTTTGAAACGATCTGTTTCCCTTACCCCACCCATGAATGTGCCAAACCAGCCTCTAGGACATGGATGGATGTCTCATGAGGACTTACGAGCTAGAGGACCCCAGTGCCTCCCATCCGATCATGCCCCCCTGTCTCCACAAAGCAGTGTAGCCTCTTCAGGAAGTGGTGGGAGTGAACACTTAGAAGATCAGACCACTGCTCGTAACACATTCCAAGAAGAAGGTAGTGGTATGAAAGGTGAGTGCTTAAATGAGAAACCACTGGGAACAGAGTCTGTCCCTTATTTGGAGTCAGAAGGGTAAAAAGAGAGGTAGTCAGCAAGAGAGAAGGGCCCACCCCCCAGCCCCGCCCCCAGGCTCGTGCGCTTGACCCATCCCAGCAGAGCTCCAGGGTTGACTGCGATGGAAAGGGCTCCGAGTCCCCTTCCAGGGCTTCTTGCCAGAATCTGGGAACCAGGAACCAGAGCAAGAGAGGTCAAGACCCTCTTTTTTTTTTAATGCAGTGACTTGCACACAATTAAATGGGTGACAGTTGAGGGTGATAGGATCTACTGTTTGCACATAGCTTCCTCAGTCTGCCCTGTTGGTAAAGACACTGAGCTGCTCCAGTCTTCTACCTTGTTGCCGTGGCCAGAGGACAGTCAATAACTTAGCAAACAAACCACAGAATCTTCTCTTAAATCTCTTCTAGTGCAGAATTGTGGAAGTGCTTCCTTTCTCTCTCCCTTTTCCTTTGATATCCAAAGAAACCTTTAAACCCTTTCCTCTGCATCTGTTTAAGGGACATGAAAATACCACCGAGAAGCTCTGACAGTGTTTTAAGCCTGATAATAAATTTGCATACAAGTGATAGAGGCCTTTTGTGCAGCATAAATAAATGTCCCTCCATTGCCCTGTAAATCTACCCTCTTCTAAAGATACTCTTCAGGAGATAGAGAATTCCAAATTACCCATGATAGGTTCAGAGAAGATGCGTGCATTCTATATTTTTAGACGCCAGTTGTTCAAGCCTGGGAAGTCCTTAGGGAAAGCTGCTCATCAGAGACACACTGATGCGTAACACACATAACAATTTTAGATGGAGAAACAGTAACTAGTCATGCTTCTGGGACTATAGTGCTGAGGGGAGGCGCTGAAAGGGCCCCCTTTGCTGGCATCAATAGTCCTGAGGTGGGGCCTGGGACCGAGTGGTTAAGTTCGCGTGTTCCACTTCGGCGGCCCACGGTTTCGCCGGTTCAGATCCCGGGCGTGGACCTACACACCACTCATCAGGCCATGCTGAGGTGACGTCCCACACAGCACAACCAGAGGAGCCTACAACTAGAATCTACAGCTTTGTCCTGGAGGGCTCTGGGGAGAAGAAAGAAGAGCAAGATGCTCAACAGATGCTGGCTCAGGGCCAATCTACCTCACCCCAAAAAAAGATACATAAAAGAAAATAGTCCCGAGGTTTGCTATTTCTGGTCTTTTCCTTGAAAAGGATCAGTGTTGACATAGGAGGCTCTGTACCAAGTGCCCTCCCCACCACAGAAGCCTGGCACAGAAAGATGCCCATGATTGCCCAGGTACCAGTCGTGAGAGAGGACCAGGCTGAAAAGTGGAGCCTGTCAGCTGCGGGTGTGGAGCTGCTCCCTGGTCCGTTGCATGAGCCTTCCTCTGAGCTGCTTGGCCTGCATTTTCTTCTTCCCCCTCCTGTGGGGGTCCTGTGCTGAGCGCCAGAGTGAAGGGGCTGTGTCTTGATGTTTCCTCTGGTGATACAAAGGGGTCTTTAAAGGTGTTTAACAGGCAACAAAAACAATGGCTCATTTTGGAATGGAGGAGGTGTGTGTCCTCTTTCTCTTTCACAGTTTTTGGGGGAATGTGCCATGATTTTGGAGACCTAGCAAAACCCATTTCTAAGTTTATGCTGCACCGTTATGTGCTCAAGCAGCAGAGCCCCAGATGAGCCCCATCGGCTACCCAACTACTCCCTCACCTGGGTAGCAGGTGAGGCTCAGCTGTGCTTTAGGTAAGCCTGCAGGACATCTCTCACTGGAGCATCAAAGTCCCTGAGGGACCAAGGGAGCGGAGACAGCTGTTGCTTTGGAGCAGCTTCTTTCCTGGCCAGGTGGAGTGTCTGGGTGGCATGTTTCCAGGAAAGTGTATGTGCAGTTCTAACTGGTAACTGTGGGAAGGAGGCCTCAGCCTTCTGTTGAAGGGCAAGGGGACTCCTGGGGAAGGCATTCTCCGGGGTACAGGCCTCCCCCAGAGAGAAACGCTGGTGCCACTGTCTGCTTCTCGGAGGTCTGTTTGGTTTGTTTTTCTTTCTTTTTTCCTTTTACTTTCTTTTCCTTGTTTTCATTCCTGTTTTTTTCTGTCTTAATGTACACATTAGACATCTTCCCAAAGTTGGTAAAGTTGTGCTCATTGCATGCTGGCATTTTGAGGTGAGAAATGAGTAACAAGAGCATGTTTTTAAGGACAAATGAATGAGAGAAAAATGGAATTAATGTCTTATCCCTATTTTAGAATAAAAGCCAAAATATTCCAAAGTTCAAGGAATAGCCTGTATATGAGCTTCTTCAATTCCTTCCTTTAGAATTGATGAGAATTGTCTCCTCAAAGCTTCTTCAATGAGAAAATTATAAAGACAAGCTCTTATACTCGAGATTTTCTTTATAGGCGCAAAGGTTGTGGTCAGAAGATAGGCTATTTGGTGACTAGATGAAACAGAGGTCTGTCTTCTATGTATACCCACCTTCTGCTGACCTGTCACCTGTCCTTCTCCCAGAGAATTGGATGTGGGTTCAAAAGTGTAAAGTCCTTAGCAAATTTTAAAGGGCACAACATTTTTGAAGGAAGGAACATGCGAGATGGTGAACAATTCTGTTCTGAGAAAAGTGTATCTGCAGTTCAGCTGACAGGCCAAGTAGTAGCAATGCCCATACCCAAGAGCAGGAGCGTGCCCGCGCACCAGAGCCAGGGTTTATTAAACCTGCAAGCCCCTCGCCCAGCCACGCCCGGCCACGTCTTCACGAGAAGGCCAGCACCCCCGTTGAACTCCTGCCTCCCAAGATTATTCAGGGCGGCCTCCCGGGAGAGCGCCGAAGAAGCAGCCCTTAACAAGCCTGTCCCAGGAGGTTGTCGTTTGATCCCCATGTGCAAGAGCAGGTGCTGGTTTAAATTTCCAAGTTAATTCATACTTTCTGAGAAAGGAAATATGAAATCAAGTGGAGAGCTTTTAAAAAGAGCCAGCTCTTCCTCTTGGATCCACATCTCTTTCCTCCTGTGACCAGGCCCTCTGCCAGGAGTGTCAGCCCTTTTAAGCTACTTGCTTGTCCACCTCAGGATGCCATCGTCTAATTGCTCTTTTTCTAATTTTTAAATGCCTGGTTAATGAAAACAACAAGCAATCTGTAGTAGAATTTGGAGGCATTCCGAATCTCCAGGGGATGCATGTCAGCCCTCACCCTGCACCTTGGGAAAAAACTAAAAAGCTACCATAATTGAGCTTAATTTAGTGTGAATTCATCTTTCTTGCCCACAGCTGTGCATACCTTGCTGAAACACTGTGTTCATCCATTCCTTCCTTTTCATCTAGACAGACGAGCCAGTTTTGGCCACAAATTGTACCTTAGGAATGTACCTCTTGGGTCAAGAGTGTGAAAAAAAGCTTGCAGTCCAGCATTCTTGCTCTTTTTGTTTTTCACCGACATCCATCTCGCCCTCTTTTTGTCTTGGTGTCAGCACTCCCTGCCAGGCATTGTCACTAAGTTCTCCCAAGCGACTAACTCCTGCTCTCCGAGGATTGACATCATCTGTCTGCTTTGCTTTGTTTTTCCTTTTATAGTAAATACCATCCTGAAGGTTTCAGTCCGCTCTGCAGCAGATTGGATGTCCCTTGGGGTCAGGATCTCGGACTAATATCTCAGGCTCAGGGAAGAATGGGGTCGTATACCCAACTAGAAATTACTCAACGGGAGTGGGAACTGAACAGGAATATGAAAGTTCCTTCTTTAACATGTTTGGACTAAATATGCTGGTTGTGGTTTCTAAATTCACTTGTCCTTGTTCTTTTCAAAAACTTCTCTGTGACTTATCCCAGGGGGAAAAATCTTGATTCTGAGTCGGTACTCAATTGTATTATCCTTCTTTCCCTCAGCATCGCATGAGTGGAACATGCTGTACCCTTCTCTCATACAAGGCCTTCATGTGGCCAAGAGGGGAAAAAAAGGACATTCTCATAATTTCTTAGAAAGAAGAGAAAATACAGAAGAGCAGAAGTTTGTTGGTAGAAGAAGCACCTTTGCCCCTCATATCAGCATCACGTCTTCAGAAATGATGTAGAAACTCAGCACCTAAAGACTTATCAAAAGGCCAGGGCTGTTGATGAGTGGTGTGGTCATGTTACATGGGAGCAGAGAGAAGGAAGAAAGACTGATAAACAGGTTTCAATTTTGTCCTCATTCAAGTCAATTGACTGTTTGAGCACCTGTTGAAAGAGGCCTTGGACTAGCTACTGGAGAGGCAGAGGTGGAAAAGATTGTTTCTGCCTCAAGGGACTCACTGTCACATGAGCAACAAACAGGTACACAGCTGTGAGGATATCTTGTCTTGAAGACTTGCCCTGGGTCAGGGCCAGTACCAAGGAGGGCCCTAAGTCAAAGTGGAGAGAAGTCAAGGAAAGCTCCTGGAGCAGGAGAGGCCTAGAGCTGAGTCCTGGAGCCTGATTACAAGTTAGCCAAATACATAAGGTGAGAGAAGAGCATTCTGTATAGAGGGAACAGCATGTGTGAAAGCCTGGTGACGAGACAGCTTGACCACGTAGATCCCATGGCTTGAGTGTTAACGGCACATGGAAAAGAGGTTTAGAGAGGGAAAAGCCAGACACTAGGCTTCTTGTAGGATTTTGGCCTGTATCTTAATGTTAGTAGAAGCTCTTGAAGGAATTTCAGCAGCAGAATGACCTGCTTAGATTTTGCATATTAGAAATAGGACCCTTAGCAACAGCATGGAGAATATACCAAAGTGAGGAGGGGACAGGGGCCAGCTGAGTTGGAGGATATTTCAGTAATTGAGGAGCAAAATGTGTTTGTAGGATCTTGGTGAGATAGAATTAAGAGAGCTCTGAATTGACTGTACACTAGTTGAATGTAGACAGTAATGGAGTGGGAAGAATTTGGGACGATGCCCAGGTTTCTGCCTGGGACGTCTGGATAGCCCATGCTGTCATCTATAGCAAAGAGTATATAGGAGAAG